AGGACTTTGTGGTGAACGTTCTTTAGGCGATTGCAGAGGATTTATTGGTATTTAAGTTTTTATCGAGGCTTATGTGTGATTTCTCCTGATTTAGTTGATTTTCTGACAGCTTTGGATCTTTATGTTGGTTTTGTTGTTCCTCAGTATGATTGGGGTTTCCTTAGATGGCATTTATTGAGTGGTTTTATTTCACACGGAACAAGTTTTGTATTCTTATGATTTTCTGTTCTTGATTTGCTTACCTTTACTTTTCCTTTCTTTTCCCTTTCTATACTGGATTTAGACGATCTATTTGCGCTGTCATGGCCATCCAGATGTCCTTGTCAACGGGCATTTATATTCAAATTTAAGTTTACAAGCTTGTACGATCATTGGGAATCTGTATATTACTGGGTCTTAGTCTTAGTTATAATGTTTGCTTTTAGGTTTGCGGTGTGAATCCGATAGCGTGGTTGCGAGAACTGGATGGAGGTTTGAGGTTTTTATTGTGCCCCTTTCTTTTTTACTAATTAGAGTGGATTTAACGAAATTTAATTCAATGTTAAATCTGATATCTTGCTGGTTATTTGTATAGAAATGTAATTTTTTGTATCGGTGTTGAATCTTTTTGATGGTTTTCATATTCCCCAGGAAGCTTCAATGTTCGTTGGCTTTTAGATATTTAGTGGAACTATGAGACGAACAATAAGTTCTTCTGGTATCTTGTCTTTTATTTTCCCAAATGTCTTTTATCTTTCCTTCTTTTTCTTCAACACACATTGCAAAAGTGTTATGATTCTACAGGATCAGGGAGGTTGATTCTAGTTGGAGGTGGCTACTCATATGTATATGTCATAAGTGCTTTTTTATGGTCATGAATATTTCACATGCATTGCAATCTTGTTTTCAATATACAAGATTAAAAGGTGAATTCGATCATGAGCACATCACAAGTGGGGGGCTGGGGTGTATAATACCAATTCAAATTTAAGTTTAAAAGCATGATAGGCATGTAACATATATAATATCCTAATCTAGCTAACATTCATTTTAGGCTGGCGGTGCGACTCCAGTACTAGGGCGGCCGAGAATGTGTGGAGGTTTGAAGGTTTTGTTACACTTCTTTCCTTTTGTTAATTAGAGCCGATTTTGGGATCTTCAAATTAGTGTTGGGACTTTATATNCTAGTTAGATGTCTCAATGATAATGGGGTTATCATGTTTATCCATATTCTGAATTAGGTTTATGATCATGGCAAAAATTGAGAAGATAGGATCTCAGTCTAGGGTTTGTTCGTTTTAGTTTGGCGGGGTTACTCAGATAAATGCATGGGTTGTTGAGTTCGGAAGCAGGTTAGGTCTTGTCACACTATCCTTTTGTTAATTGGTGGCGATATAGCGATGTTTCAATTAGTGATTGGGTTTAACCTTGAGATTTGCCTAACTAAGAGATTCTTAAATCAATATTGTATTTTTTGCGAGATTTCTTTGTCATTTGGGAGTTGGGTTATCGCCAGACAACCTACATTGGGCGGATATTGACTCAGAATAAGTTTTCCTAGTTTCCTATATTTTTCAGTTTTATGAAATTCTCATCTTTTTTTATTTCCTTTCGTTTATATGGAGATGTACATTGCAATTGTATTATGAATTTACAGGATTAGGGTGGTTGATTTGAGTCAGACACGGCTATTTGGTGGTCTATCTCTTTGGGAGGTTTTCGTCGAAGTAAGTTTGTGAGCCGGACAACCATTCAGCGTAGTTGTCATTCTTTCAGGATTGGTGGTGTGAAACGGGTACCTGGGTAGTTGGGGTTCGAGGACTTTGTGGTGAACGTTCTTTAGGCGATTGCAGAGGATTTATTGGTATTTAAGTTTTT